ATATGCAAAACAATATTATGCAGAATTTCAGGAAGAATCACACAAACCTTCTGCTTTGATCAATTTTATTTTCTAGCTAACTTTAATTTTTGGATAACATGAAAACTCAATCTCGGGATGTTGGAATTTCAACACAGCGTTAACATGATACCATCACGATTGTGTTGTTTCACCTCGATAGCGGCACCTGTGGTTAATTCCCGACGCGTAACGCAATCGATCGGTTGTTGAGAGAGAGATTAAAAACAAGCGAACTATTCTATCAAAACCTTAACCTCATAATATGCAAACTCGTATACTTGAATGATTACACAACACGGCACTTGGTCTTTGATTCGTATCCAATCCTTAACACATTCTGATATGCGAAATTATTATGCTTGAAATCGTCAGCACAGTACCACGGCGATGTTCGTTCATTGATTCATCAACGATTATGCAATTAAAGCGTTCGACTGAAATAATTCTGATTGCCTCATCAACGTAACTCAATGGGTGGCGATGTTTTTCGTTATCAGCTAATAGTTGACGCAGTTATCATGAGTCTTGTATGTTTAATGGGAGGGTTGTTGATTTCTTGCGTTGAGCAAACGCCTAGGTTGATTTCCTTGTAAAAAAATGTTTGTTCGTTGTGTAGCTGTGGGGGAGTGAGAAGGGAGTGTGGGGGAGGGGCATACGAACGACTGCCAGTTTCTGTCCACCGCTGGCTGGATGAGTCAGCACGACGCTCGCCGTCGTCGCGCCGATGGGTGTTGAGTGCGGGGCCGCTTCCCTCTCAGCCCTGGTGACGCGAAGTTGCGCGCTGTAGCACGCTGGTGGCACGCTGTTGGCACGCGCTGGTGCTGGTGGCACGCTGGTGGCGCACTGTTGGCACGCGCTGGTGCTGATGCTGGTGCTGATGGCACGCTGGTGGCGCGCGCTCCCTCTCCTTGAAGATGCGCGAACGCGCCCGTGCTGGTTCGCTGACAGCAGTTTCTCTCCACTGCTGGCTGAGCTGCTGCACGCTCTTGCTTGGCGTTGCTGGCCGCGCTCTTTCCGCTGCTGTAGTATCTGACGCTGCGCTCGCGGGCGACAGGTCAAGTTTTTCTTCTGCTGAGTGAGCCGAGTCGCACGCGCTCTCTTTGTTGAGGTTGTTGGCGGCTCTCTGACAGCAGGTTTCCTCCACTGCTGTATGACTCAAGTCGTATGCGCTTGGTCACTGGTTTGCTGAAGTTGTTGGCGGCTGCTCGTGCTTTTCCGCTGCTGGTTGAGCCACATTGCACGTGCTTTCTTTGTGGAGATGCTCGAGCGCTCTCAGCGCTGATTCGCTGATACTTTGTTGGCGGCTGGCCAAGCTTTTTCTTCAGTTGAGTGAGTTGAGTCGCACGTGCTCTCTCTGTTGAAGTGTGCGAACGCGCCCGTGCTGGTTGCTGACAGCAGGTTTCCTCCACTGCTGTATGACTCACTTTTGTTGATACATCGCGACTCAGCGATCCTCGCTACTCAGCGAGGCTCGGAGCCAGCCGCTCCATGCGACTGCTCGTCCTGTGGACGTCTTGACTCGCTGATCTGTCTTGACTCTTGACTTAACTTCACTGACTTTTGAAAATGCGGCTGACGTTATATTCAAAGACAATTCTCTCTGCGCAGTGGAAAAGGGGGGGGGCGGGGTCTGTGTGTGTGAGTTCGTGTGTGTGTGTACAGATGGCTCCTGCGATAACGATCTGTTTGCCCTGGCGTGAAATTCCTCTCTCGCGCTCTTCGGGAGAGACAAAGGTGGTCGGGAGTACCTATCTCTTTATACTTTCGACTTTATATTTCTCAAATACAATTTGGTCCCATGTTCGCCAAGACTCGTGTTTGTAACTACGTCCTCCCGACACGCCTCTCGGGTTACCGAGGTTCGCATTGATATGATGGAGTTATTAGAAAGAAAAATAATTTTCATCCTGAGTTTAAGAGGTCCGTTTCCAGATTGTTGGAATCCATATCCCTTGGTTCTGTAAGGTTCTATAATGGAATATCGTTTAAGGTTAACACGTTATTATTAATGTTATATTGCAATTTTCTTTAAAACTTTGTTTGCCTGGTTGCCGTGTGTGGGGTGGGGTGTGTCTCCTCATCAAACCTGGCTGGCTTTTCCAGATGGCCCCTTGTGATAAGGTGTAATTCCTGCTTCTCCGCGCTGTGAGAGAGACAAAGGTGGTCGGGGTTGCTTGGGATATTGTTTAAACTCTTTCGTAAGTTTGCCCGTTCGCCTCATTCCTTCTCGATAACCTTTGATGTGACTCGGTATTTTGTCTCCAAGCTTTGTTTTAACAGTAAAAGTATTAAAGGTGAAAATCATTTGATAGCGAATTAATTATTGGATAATAATTCACTGATGTATCTGGTGGCCTGGTCTTGATTGGAGTGAGCGTGAGAACCGCTAACTTTAGCTTATTCTTGTTATTGCATTTTAAATTTGAACCGTTGTTTTAATGACAAAGGAAAAAAATATATGGTTTAACCCGTGGGCGTCCTCGTTTCTGGCTTGCGGAGGGCTTCCCTCTGCGTGACCTCCCTTAGGGCACATCAAACTCTTGTTCATCTGGAGATCTTCGCAGATAGCTGCTAACATCCTCGCCTCGAGAGTTTTATTATTTCTTTATTTTTTAAATGGTCTGTTTATGATCGACATCTGGTTTTTCGTGTGCCTGGCTTACGGGTTTTATTGATTTTTTTGTTTGTTAAAAAAATATATTATATATAACGCAAATATTGTTAATATTAATTTTGGAAAAGGCTCATATACAACAGGTAACAACAGGTAGGTGCACGATTGGCTGCGCGGTACGACGTCACCCTGGGCCTTTGAAGTTTGGGGAATGAAGAGTAGCACGGGACGATTTTGGGGTCTCTCGTCTTCAACCTCTGGGCCGCCAAGAGCCGCTCCCTGCCGTCCTGCCTCCTCGAGCCGCTCGCGGCATCCAGCGAGTGCCGCTACGAGGCTGCGATAGGTAAAGTTTTCTCTCGTCCTTCTCCCTCCGACTCTCACAGCGTCCGTTCGACGCCGTGAGTACAGCTTCGAGGTGTGTGGTAGGGCATTCGAGTGACTGGGCACTTAGGCAGCAGGTGATGTGTATTTGCGCCGCGAATACAATTTAGCACAGAGCATCGGTGTGGTGTCGGTGATTTGCGTGTGGAGCGACTGCGTGTGGAGCGATGCGTTGCGAGAGGAGTGAGTGCGGAGCCGCAGCGTGTGCGTGCGTGTTAGGATATGATCGCCCGCAGGTGCGCGCGCATTCGCGCTGCCGCGGTAGCTTGAGTGGTGGGGTGCGCAGAAGAGTAAGCGAGGAGCCGCAGCGTGCGCGCGCGTGTTAAGAGGAAATCGCTCGCAGGCGTGGTTGCGGTCGTGCAGCTGCGTGCCGCGTTGGCGTGAGTGGCGGTGTACACGTGTGAGTCCTGTGGGTGAACTCTGTGCGGCGGTGAACCAGCAGTTTAGCCGTGTCCCTCAGTGAGGGCGCTAGCGCTGGGGGGGGCGGGAGGGCGGCGATCACCGGTCGGCGGGGGCCTGGCGGGAGCCAATCGACGCGGTGGAGGAGGGAGCGTAAGGGGCGGACGTTGCGCCCCACCTGCCCAGCGAGGGCGGTGGGGTGGACGTCGGCCTCCACAACTTTGCACTAGGAATTGGAGGAGGGGTTTACAATGTGAAAGGCGGGAAGCGAGGGTTGAGGCGACGGTTGACAACCGTTGGTGGAGGAGGACGAGGATTGGCCGAAAGGAGTGGGGGGGGGGGGGGGTGAGCGAAGCGTCGAGAGAGGAGGCTCCAAAGGTATAAAAGGGGAGTGGCCCAAGGGGAGATTCGGGTAGAGTTCGAGCTTTAGGCATCGAGAAAGAAGCCCGGGCCTAGTTGTTGGTGCTGTGTCCAATTACACTTGTCAACGTACCTGGGGGGGGGGGGGGGGGGGGGGGGGGGAGCTACGTCTGTGCGAGTCTTGTCGTGCATAACGAGAGAGATAAGGGTCGTGCTCCCAGATTTTTATTGATCATCAGCAACCGCCACCATCGATTGGCATTGGCAGACAGTAACAAAGTCTGCCTTAGCCACGCGCACCACGTCCAGTGTTCCCCGAGCGATTACGAACAAAGTTACCTCCGAGTTTGCGTTAACTCTTAAGTGCGTGCGTGCCGCTCGGTACGCCTGTGGTATTTAAACTATTAAACTATTTTATTTTACCAGGTGTAATGACCCACTGGCCTGTGGAGCTCTCTTTCACAAGCGATAGGTCAACCAAGCGGCCGATATCATCATCGTGTGGAGATTTATCGTAGCAGCCAAATACTCGGAATGCACGAATGTGTTGTACCCCTTGCCCTCTCCTAGCCCTCCCCCCACCTATGCTGCCGTGCGACCCTGCTCTCTTGGGCCCCTCCCCCTCCCCCCCACCTCCACTTTTCTATTTAAGGCCTCTGTCTGTTCATCTCTCCGCCCCTTTTTCCTTGCTTCTCTGTCCGTCTTTCCTCTCCTTGCCCCTTGGTGTCTCTGTATATGTATTTATTTCTGCTGACTTGTACCTCGTATTTGTTCACTCTGTCTATGCTGGTATGTTCAATCCAGAGGATGAACAGGTAATGTAGCACTCTTCTGAAATTCGTGGTCGGCCAGGCAAGTGTCTAACTGTTGTGTTTGGCCTGACTGGTTTTGCATCACATAATTTTTTCTTAGGTTTGTTGAATTCCCGTCTCTCATCTTCTTGTTGTATTTACCTCCGTGCAATTTGGCGCTCTCTATGTGTTGCGTTGATGTCGCCCTATGTGCTCCCTCGCTATTTGTTTTTACACCTGATGAAGATCGCTTGTGTTGCGGTCGAAACGTCGTGATTGATTTATATTAATATAATTTTATTGTATTTCTACATACGTGACTTTACCAAAGAAAAAAATAATTCTAAACGTGTCAGGGAAAAACCAGAGCACCTTGCGAAGAAGCCACACGACCACAGGGAGAGCGAGAGACAGAGTCGCAAACTCCAAACGTAGAGCAGGCGTCAGGGTTGGGATCGAACCCACGGCCTCCTGTATGTATACCACGTGAGGTAGTTAACATCTCCTAGCCACCGCGGAGTATTACCCAGGGCAGTGACAGGGTTCGAACCGTGAGCCTCTACACCAAGCAGTGGCCAACAGGCGTCTCAAGCTGCATGAGGCAGTGTTGAGTCTATGGGTCTCAGTGCTGAGTCTATGGTGCAGTGTGAGTCTATGGGTCTCAGTGCTGAGTCTATGGGCAGTGTTGCATCTTTGGGAAATGTTGAGTCTCTGGTGCAGTGTTGAGTCTATGGTGCAGTGTGAGTCCATGGGTCTGTGTTGAGTCTGTCATGTGGCTCTATCGAAGGGACATAACGTAGAACACGCTATCACAGTAGTAGCAATTAATAATAAATGTCTCCCGTGCTGTGCAGAAAACTGTCAATATATATACACTTACATATACACACACTTTTTGCAGAATTTATGGTGTACTTTTTTGGCTCTTTTGGTCTCTTACAGCTTGTCCACCCCTGCTCTACACCAAGCGACTTTGACATTCGGACTCTCACACGCTCTCCCTACATCTCTAGTTATCTCTGTACTCAGCCGTGTGTGTATATATATATCACTGTATATCTCAATATTGTTCCATATATATATATCTCTGTGTATATCTGTGTCGAGAGGTTCTGAATGGAATTATATATCACTATGCATCTCTATATATATATCTCTATGTACATACATAAATTCATCTTTGTCTATCTTTATACATCTTTGTATATACAGCTATCTGTACACAGGATATTTCTGTATATACACATCGGTATGTATAAATCTATATCTCTATACATCTACAAATATACATCTGTGTATATATACGCGTATATGTCTATATACATCTCTCCCTCTGTACATCACTCTCAGTACGGTGGAGACCACGGCACCAGCCTTGGCTCCCACGCCGTCTCGTGGAGTTGGCGCAGGTGATCGACCAGCTGCGGACAGAACACGGCACGCACAGGGTCACTCACTCAGCCAGCAGTGGAGAGAACACGGCCATACACGACAATAACCACCGCCCTTCACCACTGAGCGGCGGTGACGTCACAGTGGCGATTGTGCCAGGCTAGGTGCACTTTAAGGCCAAGCGAAGTGTTGAACGCCCGCTGGCAGGAGGTCACGGGACAGACTCAGGTGCCACAGGTCGACTGACTGAGATGACTGGCTGATGCACCACCTGAGCCCGCTACTATGCCAACCTGCTGTGTTTTAGCCACCCGGTGCTCCGCTCGTTGTTGTGAGTGTCATTCCTCCGCCCTCCACTGTTGCTGGAGGACAACTACCTCCAACTGCCCAGCAGCATCCTTCACGAACCTCCTCCACAGAGGCCGATTTTGATTCCGTTAGTAGCGATCATCGGCAAGTCCACTCAGCTCCACATCCTTCTGGACCACATCAGGTCCATCTCGAGCCCCTGCTGCGCCCGTTTTTCCCCATTTATCCGGCCGAACAGAAGCTGCTTGGGTATGCGGGGCTACATGACCCATCCAATGGAGCCTTGCTTGCCAGAAGAGCTCCCTTATTGTATCGTGTCCAGATCTTTCAAGGATTTGTGAGCTCCTTACACAGTCCAGTCTGGTTAAACTAAGGATGGATCGTAGACAGGCCAGCCTGAATGTTTCAAACCGGCATGGATGTTCCTTTAAAGGGCTCCACGTTGCCCAAGCTTAGAGAAGGGAGGTCGTAACTATGGCTGCGAAGACCCAAAACTTCGTGTGGAGCGACAGACCGGGTAGTGTACACACAGCATTACGCAGCCGCTGAAAATTTCATGCTGCTCAACTGATTCAGAGTGAGACCTCGGCTGCCAAAACCGGAACTGGTCATAAGCACACTGCCCAGGTACGGAAACATTCAGCATAATATACCCATGCAGGTGCTTTGTTTTTGTGGGGCTGATGGTAAGAACCCATCTCTTAGTAGCACGCTCCAAGTTCACCAGGAGTGCATCCAACTCCTCTGAGTGAGCAGCAATCACCAGATCATCAGCATACATCAAATGGCTGACCAAGAGGGAGCCATCCCTTGACCACACCTGGGCATCGATCAGCCTCTAATTGTATCTATACCAAATGGAAATTCCACCAGTACTTCCATGGAAAGCTGCTCCCTCTACATGGTTAAAAAATAGGTTAAATAATGTAGGGGCAAGAGGACATCTCTGTCTCAAACCAAAGTGAACATAAAATGGCACCGACACCCAGCCACGTAGCTTTACCCAAGTCTGCCCACCATCATGACGGTCATTAAGGATTGTAAGCAGATGGTCTGGGACTCCAAAAGCACGAAGAATGACCCAGAGCTCTGGCTTATTGATGGTATCATAGGCCTTAACCAGGTCAATAAAGTTGAGATGTAGGTCCTGTTGGAATTCCCTACCCCTCTGCTGAAGAATACGGAGAGAGAAAATAGCGTCTGTGTAGGACCGCCTCAGTATGAAACCACATTGGGGCTCCGCAAGTCTCTCAGCATGTCTGGCAAGGCGATGTTAAATAATTCTTGCCAGGACCTTTCCCGGCATACTGAGGAAAATACCCCGGTAGTTGTTGCAATCTGTGCGGTCCCTCTTTTAAAGAATGGAGACCATCAGGGCATCCTTCAACACCATTGGAACCCTTCCTGTGGACCGATCATTTGTAATTATGATGTCACATAAGGCAGTCTGCACACAAACACCATCATCCCTCAGAAGTTCGCTTGCGAGGTTAAACTTTTCCTGGTGCTTTACCTGGTTTCAAGCTCCGGATCGCCCTCCACATTTCCTAAACAGATGGCACTTTAGCCAATTACTCACAGGGAGCAGCTACTTTCCCAGGAGGGTCAACCCACACCTTGCCCTATGACGTTGTTTGAGCCGAGGGGTTCCTCTTGTGCTCAGAATTCAGAGAAATTTTCAGCAAATCTGCGAACCTATTCCTGGGGGTCAGATCACCATTCTTTCCCTTAAGGATGTTCTTGGCCATGGGATGCGGTAGACGGTGGGAGTGGACCTGCCTCATAGTTTCAACGAGCTAAAACACCTCCTCCGATAGCTAGGGTTTCTGAAGAGGTATGGACCATGTACCCAAAGCAGCCATTGCAACTACAATGGCTGCCTTGCATCTAACCTATATTAATTTAACTCTTAAAACCCCCACCTCCTCAGCCAATTAAAGAACACGGAACACCACCACATTCCCAATCATCGCCCCCTATGTGAGTTGGCCATCGAGCCCAACCACCTTCCCTTTTTCCTGCCCCATGTACAACTTCGAGACACCACGGTGGCTAGAAGTTGTTAACTACCTCGCCCTGGTATAGAGGTCGTGGGTTCGATCCCGACCCCGACGATATCCGCCGTATGAACTAAACTATTACATTTTGATTTAAAGCTTTCGTGACTGCAGGGATTAATATTCTTGGTTCTTTCGGTAAAAGTCACCACCACGTAGAAGGGACTGCGACACAGGCAATCATAATCAGGTGTGAAAACCACAGCAAGAAAATTTGAAAAAATGTTCTTGTTTTATATTTGTATTATTTTATTGTTTCCCTTCTACGTGGAGACTTTACCGAAAGAACCAAGAATATAAACTATTACATGTTTTTTTGTTTGCTTTATCAGGTAAGGCCCACTGAGCTACGAAGGTCTTTTTTTTCAGAAGCGACCTCGCCACAAATGAGAGCTCAACGAAGCGGCTCATAATGTGGAACTTGTGTAGCAGCAGCCAAATACTCTGAACACGTGACGCCGATTCTAAATGTGGATGGGAAAACCGGAGGACCCGGGAGGAGAGAGAGAGAGATGTTCAAGAGCTTAATAGACGGAGACAGCGGCCATACAAAGACACCGCGGCCACGTGCAGCGTTGAGCGGACTGTCGCCCCCCCCCCACCCCCCTCGTGGGGCTCACCTCGATGACGTCATCGTCCGAGGCCACTTCCGGTTCTGCCCCTCCTCCCTGCAGAACTGGAGACAACGGCAGCACCTGCCATGAGCGCAAACTCCTCCACCCCACCGTGACTCCCCCCACCCCCACCGCGCGTCCCCCTCCGTGTCCCCCCCCCCCCATGCCGCCTCCGTGCCACTCCCTCCGTGTCCCCCCCCCATGCCCCCCCCCCCATGTGAACCTGCCACGTCCCCTCCCTCAGACTGTGGGTCCCTCACCCCCCCCCCCCCCGTGCCCTCCCCCCATCTATACACCCCCTCCCCTAGTCCCCCCCCCCCAAACTGTGAATCCCCCCGTGCCCCCCTCCTCCCGTGCCCCCCTCCCCCCGTGCCCCCCGTGCCCCCCTCCCCCCGTGCCCCCCTCCTCCCGTGCCCCCCTCGCCCCGTGCCCCCCTCCCCCGTGCCCCCCTCTCCCCCGTGCCCCCCCCTCCCCCCCGTGCCCCCCTTCCCCCGTGCCCCCCTCCCCCCGTGCCCCCCTCCTCCCGTGCCCCCCTCCCCCCCGTGCCCCCTCCCCCCTCCTCCCGTGCCCCCCTCCCCCCGTGCCCCCCTCCCCCCGTACCCCCCACCTGTGTACGAGGCTGAGATCTGCAGCCGGAAGCCCAGGGCGTCGCTCCACGCTGAGTCGTCCCCACCTGCACGCACACTGCCAGTCAGCTCCGCCGCCTTTGTCTCTCCGCAGCGCTCGTCGTCCACACAGACTGCCCCCAGCTGCCCATTTAAGGCCGAGTCGACCCAGGCGATGCTCCCGGGACCGACTTCAAATAATCGCCTCTGACGTTGGCCGTGTGGTGGGAAGCGGACTCGGGCAGTGCTCACCCGCCCACTAACTCACCCACCCATTAACTCACCAACCAACTCACCCACCCACAAACTCACCCACCCACTAACTGACCCACCCACCAACTCACCCACCCACCAACTCACCCACCCACAAACTCACCCACCCACAAACTCACCCACCCACTAACTCACCCACCAACCAACTCACCCACCCACTAACTCACCCACCCACCAACTCACCCACCAACTCACCCACCCACCCACAAACTCACCCACCAACTCACCCACCCACCCACAAACTCACCCACCCACTAACTCACCCACCCACTAACTCACCCACCAACCAACTCACCCACCCACTAACTCACCCACCCACCAACTCACCCACCCACCCACAAACTCACCCACCAACTCACCCACCCACCCACAAACTCACCCACCCACTAACTCACCCACCCACTAACTCACCCACCAACCAACTCACCCACCCACTAACTCACCCACCAACCAACTCACCCACCCACTAACTCACCCACCCACTAACTCACCCACCCACCAACTCACCCACCCATTTACCCACCCACCTGCTGCTCGCCCTCTCGCACACTCACCAACCCACTATCTCATCCACTAACACACCCACCCACTAACTATCTCACTCAACCACCAACTCACTCACCCACACAGCAACTCACTCACCCACCTACGAACTCACTCAATCACCCGCTCACTCACCCACTCGCCCACCAACTCACTAACTCGCCCACCAACTCACTTCCTCGCCCACCCACTCGCTCACCCACTTCCCCACGCACCCGCTTACCCACTCTCCCACCCACTCACTCACCCACACACCCTCACCTGGTGAGGAGCAGAAGGTTGCTGGAGTCGGGGTGAGGAGCTCGGGACTCTCAAGGAGAGAGAGAGGGTTAGTGTGAGAGTAGAGGGAGTGGTGAGCAGGGGTCTTCAATTGGTGAGCGTGGTGAGGAGCGTCCGTGTATAACGAGAGATGAGGATTTTCCAGGTAAGAAGAGCAAAACGTGATTTCCGAGTTACAGAAGTGGTGAGCGGAGTGGTGAGGAGTGTGTTGTGGTGAGGAATGGTGAGTAGGGTGGTGAGGAGATAGTGGAGTGTGTTGGTGTGAGGAGTGGTGAGGAGATAGTTGATTCTGTGGGTGAGAGGGGTATTGAGGAGACAGCTGAGGAGTGTCTGAGCGAGTGGAGTGCTGAGGAGAGAGTTGAGTGTGCCGGTGAGATGAGTGGTGAGAATTGCATGGGCGAGGAGAGTGGTGAGGAGAGAGTTTAGCAATGTGTGGGTGGGTGGAGTGGTGAGGCGATAGTTGAGTGTGCAGGCTAGAGGAGTGGTGAGGAGTGTGCGGGCGAGGAGAGTGGCGAGAGATTTCTTGCTGAGTTGATTCCACATCTTCCTCCTGTGGCATCTGACTTACACGGGGTAGGAGGAGACACAGGGAGGAGGATGAGACATGGGGATGAGGAGAAGTTTAAACCAAAGTCCCACGAATGGCAATGTGAATTCCCCCGCAGCCAATCCTGACGCTTTGGCGAACCGACCAATCATCGATCAGCAGCTGTTCCAATCGGCCAATGGGAATGGGTGTCCCGTTCTTTAGATCAACTCCGTGGATGATGATGATGATGGTACAACCTCCCCCCACCCCCAATTCCTCGAGGTTTCCTCAAGAAACAAGAAACCACTGCCAGTGATCACGTGGAATGTCTGTATGTTTACTAAGGAGGAGGGGCTGCTATTACTTTGTCGGGAGCTGGACCGGTTCTGCCTGGACTTCTGTGGAATACCGGAGGTCCGGCGGACTGATTCTAACTCATGAGTGGTGGACAGTAAAGTTCTCCACTCGGGGGCAGGAAACTGCCAAACAACAGGGAGTGGCTCTGCTTTTGAACAAAATAATGAAGGTGGGTGTGGGAGCGTGGAGGTGAGGTGTGGGAAGCTGTGAGGCCCAAGCTGTGAGCTTGCCTCCACATCAACAAGAGGCGAGGAGTGGTTGTGGTGGTGATATATAGAGTTTGGGTGACTTTAATGACCGAGTCAGTCATGACACAGGCACCTGAGCCTGAATGTTTGGAAGGCATGGGCCAGATCAGCTCAATAACAACAGAGACAGATGCCTTCCCGGTATCCACCCTATGTCCTTCCTTGTGGAAGAGATACGTAGATGACACGTTCGTCATCTGGCCACATGGCCTACCAGCGCTGGGCCAATTATTCAACCACATCAATTCCATACACCCAGCCATTAAATTCACCATGGAAGTGGATGTTTTAATCGAAAAGAGACGAGATGGCTCAATGGGACAATATCTACAGGAAAGCTACCCATACAGATGCCTACCTAAAACCTGACTCCCACCACCATCCATCCCAGAAGAATTCCATCATCAAAACTGTATACCATAGAGCTCATCTTCTTTGGTTCTTTCGGTAAGGTCACGTAGAATGAGAATGAAATAATAAAAAAAATTGACCATCATCACCTAGCCAGTGAACTGGAGCACGTACACCAAGCCCTCAAGATGAATGGATATTCCGACAACACAATCCGTAAAGCCATCACCCCAACCGTTAGGAAATAACCATCTGAGGACCCAATCAAAACCATCGCCTTGCCATACTTAGCAGCGGTTACCAAAAATATTTCCAAAATCATGAGCAAACACAAGATCCAGGATCGATTCAACACAGTACATAAAATTCGTGATCTGATCCCATCTTTGAAGGATGTGATCCCTGACATGCAATATCCCATTGTCTACAAACTAAGCTGTGGCAGTAGTTACATTGGGGAAACTAAGCGACATGTCTCGGACCGTGTTCGTGAGTATAAGGCAAGATCTGAAACACGGTAGGACCAATACCTCAGCCGTGGCTGATTATTGTTTTAATGCTGTGGGCACACACAAAATAAAATTTTCCTAGACGAAGGTACTCTCAAACCCACAGGCTATCAACAAAGATTCGTTGATGAAGCCATCCAGATATATAAACACAGACACAAATTCAACCGAGAAGATGGGTGCAAACTGTGCAATCAGTGGAAGGACGTCATCAACCAATTTAAGTCACAACTGGCTGTGATGTTTCCATCCTACCTGCCGATGTTAGCAGTTATTTCCGACACTCTGAGTTGCATACACGCTAAATGTCTTACGAACACAGCCACCATTGCTCCTTGTCCTCGAGTTGGGAGTGTCCCTCGTTTTTTAACGAGCCGGATGTCTCACTAGCACAGCCACCGTTGCGATGGTCCGCTTACATTGACATGCTAATCTATCACAATACAATGGCCACCTCCACAGCAGTGTCGTCGTGGAGGTATATCAGCTCTCCGATCTTACATTTACTTGCAAATTCCATCTCTAGCCCCACCCCCTTACCCTTGGGCTACACCCATCTCAAACCTATATAACATGCTGCTTCAGCAGCTCTCCCGCTAAATTTGTCCACCTGATGACGATTGCTTGTGTTGCGATCGAAACGTCGTTATATGTTTTTTATTATTTTTCTATCTACGTGGCTTTACCGAAAGACCCAAAGAATATGAATTCCTGCACTCACGAAAGCTTTAAGTCAAGATTTAACAACAGTAGGATGAGGCTGATAGACTTCTGTGCAGTCCATGGGCTTGTAATTAACAAGATGCTGTTCTGGTATCGCCACATCCACACAACATCTTGGATGCATGCCGGGTCCAAGAAAGAACATTTGTTGGACCACATAGCCACACAACAGGGAATGCGGGTCCATGTTCATGGCACCTGGACCTACCGTGGAGCTGATCTGCCCACTGATAATCAGCTTTTCACTTGTAAGATATACCTACCATTCTTCCACTTCGGTGGTGGGTGTCAATTTAGGACCCCATTCAAACCACAGTAGCCTGGTCTCAGCTCGCTTCTCATTAAAGTTGGCATCGTCCCCCCCCCCCCTCCTGATGCCAAGAGGGAAATTGGTGAAGTTCATGAGTGTGGCTCATGCAGCTGCTACGGCTGCATTGGGTATCAGGTCCAGACCTCCCTAGAGACGCTAGCTGACAGAAGAGTTGTTCTGTTGAGTCAAAATAAAGAGCCAGGCCCACTCCCACCGTCTACAGCATCCCACATCAGAGAATGAGGAGATTCACAGCAGCCTTCGCTCAGAGGCTCAGAGAGCCGTGCAGTGCTGCAAGAATGAGTGGTGGTCATGGGTTACTGAGGAGATGGAATCTTCCTCACTAGCACGCGATAACAATTCACTGTTTAACTCCATCAATGACGTAACTTGCAGTGCCACATATATCACCATTCTTCGGGGAAAGAACGGCGTTATAATCTCCGACCCCCATGAACAGGTTTGTAGGTTTTAAATCAAATATCGGAGGATGTAGCCACTCCCTGTAAATGGCGTGCTGATGTGCCATCTGTTGAAGTATAAAAAAGTGATCCTGAGCTTGAGACCAGGTAAAGTGCCGGGCAGAGATGATATCTCAAGCGAACTGCTAAGGGAGGGTGGCGTCTGTATGCAGATAGCCCTATGTTACAAAATTACAAACTGTCTGGACCATTGGAGGTGGTTTCTGAGGATTGGAAAGATGCCCTGGTGGTTCCCCTCTTTAGGAAGAGGGACCGCATAGATTGTAACAACTACAGAGGCATCTCCATCCTCAGTGCGAGGCCGGGAAAGGTCCTGGCAAGGGTTATTCAACATCGCACCCTTACCAGGCACGCTGCGGAGGGGCTTTCGGAGCCGAAAATGTGGTATCAGGCCAGGGTGGTCCTGCACAGACGCCATATTCTCTGTCCGTCTGCTACATCAGAATGTAAAGAATTTAAACAGGACCAAATCCCTGGTTAATTGACCTGGTCAATGCCTATGGTACCATGAGTAGGCCAGGGCTCTGGGTTTTTGTTCTTGCTTTCAGAGTCCCTGACTCTGCTCACAACCATTAAGGGCCTTCGTGATGATGGGCAGGCCCGGATAAATATACGTGGCCGGGAGTCAAAGCCATTCCCTGTTGACCTTGGGGTACGACAGGGAAGTCCTCTGGCCTTTACACTATTTAACATAATCTTTGACCACGTGGTTCGAGAAGCTTTCCATTGGTGTACCTGAGGAGTTTCCATCTGGTACAAATACAATTGCAGGCTAATCGATACCCACGTGTGGTCAAGGAATTACTCCCTATTGGTCAAATATGTTACGTGTTCTGATCTGGTAATTGATGCTCACAGTGAGAAGGAGTTGGAGCCTTTCCTACCAGCGAGCCTTTGACAATTCGTGTGGCCTCAAGGTGCACCTAGCCTGGCACAAGGGCCGTGGTGAACGAATAGCCACTTAGTGGTGAATGTCGGTTGAGGTTGATGGTGATGATGTTGATGGCGGTGATGATGTTGATGAGTCACCTCTCGCCTTTTATTCCGGTACTTCAGTTTACTCGTCTTCTTGGCTGCAACAGAATAATCATCAACATTAGCATCTCGTTCTCTCGGCATGTCTCTCCCCCGTGCCTCCCCCCCTGCCCACCCCCGCACCGTGTCTCTTCCCGTGTCCCCCCTGTATCTGCCCACCCCCCTGTCTCCTCTCCGTGTCTCCCCCCTGCCCCCCCCCCTGCCCCCCCCGTGTCTCCCCCCCCGTGTCTCCTCCCTGCCCCTCCCGTGTCCCCCCCCTGCCCCCCCCCGTGTCCCCCCCCTGCCCCCCCCTGTCTCCCCCCTGCCCCCCCCGTGTCTCCCCCCTGCCCCCCCCGTGTCTCCCCCCTGCCCCCCCGTGTCTCCCCCCTGCCCCCCCCCGTGTCCCCCCCTGCCCCCCCCTGTCTCCCCCCTGCCCCCCCCCGTGTCTCCCCCCTGCCCCCCCAGTGTCTCCCCCCTGCCCCCCCCCGTGTCTCCCCCCTGTCGCCCCCCATATCTCCCCCTGCCCCCCCCTGTCTCCCCCCTGCCCCCCCCGTGTCTCCCCCCTGCCCCCCCCGTGTCTCCCCCCTGCCCCCCACGTGTCTCCCCCCTGCCCCCCCCGTGTCTCCCCCCTGCCCCCTCCTGTCTCCCCCTGCCCCCCCGTGTCTCCCCCTGCCCCCCCGTGTCTCCCCCCTGCCCCCCCCCGTGTCTCCCCCCTGCCCCCCCCGTGTCTCCCCCCTGCCCCCTCCTGTCTCCCCCCTGCCCCCCCGTGTCTCCCCCCTGCCCCCCCGTGTCTCCCCCCTGCCCCCCCCCGTGTCTCCCCCCTGCCCCCCCGTGTCTCCCCCCTGCCCCCCCCTGCCCCCCCCGTGTCTCCCCCCTGCCCCCCCGTGTCTCCCCCCTGCCCCCCCGTGTCTCCCCTGCCCCCCCCGTGTCTCCCCCTGCCCCCCCCCGTGTCTCCCCCCTGCCCCCCCCCCGTGTCTCCCCCCTGCCCCCTCCCCCCGTGTCTCCCCCCTGCCCCCCCCGTGTCTCCCCCCTGCCCCCCCGTGTCTCCCCCCTGCCCCCCCCGTGTCTCCCCCTGCCCCCCCCGTGTCTCCCCCTGCCCCCCCCGTGTCTCCCCCCTGCCCCCCCCGTGTCTCCCCCTGCCCCCCCCGTGTCTCCCCCCTGCCCCCCCGTGTCTCCCTGCCCCCCGTGTCTCCCCTGCCCCCCGTGTCTCCCCCCTGCCCCCCCCGTGTCTCCCCCTGCCCCCCCCCGTGTCTCCCCCCTGCCCCCCCCGTCTCTCCCCCCTGCCCCTCCCCCGTGTCTCCCCCCCCGTGTCTCCCCCCTGCCCCCCCCCCCCCCGTGTCTCCCCCCCCGTGTCTCCCCCCTGCCCCCCCCTGCCCCCCCCCGTGTCTCCCCCCCCCCGTGTCTCCCCCCCCCCCGTGTCTCCCCCCCCCGTGTCTCCCCCCTGCCCCCCCCCCCGTGTCTCCCCCCCCCCACCCACGCGTCCCCCCCGCCCCGCCTCACGTGTGCGTGGTGCGAGCATGACGTAGACCCGAGCGGCCTGGCCGCCCCTGCGCGTGCCAGGTCGCGACGCTCGCGGACGTCGCAGAGTGAGTGCAGAGCACAGCGGAAGTTCGCCTTCCACGTCTTCGGGTCGACGTGGTCCGCGCGGAACTTGCCTGAGAGAGAGAGAGAGGGCGAGAGAGCGAGAGTGAGCACTTGTCGTAGTTATTAAAAAAAAAGAGAGAGAGCGAGAGAGAGTGAGCGAGAGAGAGTGAAGTGGAGTAGGAAGAGAGAGGGGGTAGAGAGGGGGGTAGAGAGAGAGAGGGGGTAGAGAGGGGGGGGGGGTAGAGAGAGAGAGGGGGTAGAGAGAGGGGGTAGAGAGAGGGGGTAGAGAGAGAGAGGGGGTAGAGAGAGGGGGTAGAGAGAGAGGGGTAGAGAGAGAGGGGGTAGAGAGAGAGGGGGGTAGAGAAAGAGGGGGTAGAGAGAGAGGGGGTAGAGAGAGAGGGGGTAGAGAGAGGGGGTAGAGAAAGAGGGGGTAGAGAGAGAGGGTAGAGAGAGAGGGGGTAGAGAGAGGGGGTAGAGAGAGAGAGGGTAGAGAGAGAGGGGGTAGAGAGAGAGGGGGGTAGAGAAAGAGGGGGTAGAGAGAGAGGGGGTAGAGAGAGGGGGTAGAGAAAGAGGGGGTAGAGAGAGAGGGTAGAGAGAGAGGGGGTAGAGAGAGGGGGTAGAGAGAGAGTGTAGAGAGAGAGGGGTAGAGAGAGAGGGGGTAGAGAGAGAGGGGTAGAGAGAGGGGGTAGAGAGATAAAGAGGGGGTAGAGAGAGAGGGGTAGAGAGAGAGGGAGTAGAGAAAGAGGGGGTAGAGAAAGAGGGGGTAGAGAGAGAGAGGGGGTAGAGAGAGAGAGAGGGGTAGAGAGAGAGGGGTAGAGAGAGAGAGGGGGTAGAGAGAGGGGGTAGAGAGAGAGGGGTAGAGAGAGAGAGGGGGTAGAGAGAGAGAGGGGGTAGAGAGAGAGGGGGTAGAGAGAGAGGGGGTAGAGAGAGAGGGTATAGAGAGAGAGGGGGGTAGAGAGAGGAGGTAGAGAGAGAGAGAGGGGTAGAGAGAGAGAGGGGGTAGAGAGAGAGGGGGTAGAGAGAGAGGAGAGGCAGAGAGAGGGGTAGAGAGAGAGGGAAGGGGAAAGGAGATAAAAAAGGAAAAAAAAACATTTGTTGGGTCTTTCATTTAAAAGAGGGGGGGGGGGGGGGGTTAGTTAAAGCAAAGCATAAAAACAAAAAAACCGAAATGATGAATGGAGCAAAGTGCCGACTACACGGAGCATCTTCTCGTTTCCTCTGATCGTAAAAAAGAGAGAGACGCGGAGAGGGTGAGGGAGAGATACGGCGGAGAGAGAGAGGGAGGGGTGCGGACGTTTTGTCATCACTCTCTCTTCTCACCTGAACCGCGGCGTTCACCGAATACGGAAGGAGCTGTAAAATGTTGTGGATTCACTCTTCAACACACCGGTGTGGGCTAAAGCAGTGAACTATTTTGTCTTTTTGTCAACGTGACACTTTTTTTGCTGACTGGCCGTGTCGGGTGGTGGAGGGTTACGACCACATTTATAAATAACGCGATCTAACGCAAAAAAACAACAACTTTATTATGAATTTTGTATTTTACCGTGTGCGAGGCCCCACTGAGCTACGTGGCTCTTATTCAGAAGCGAGTTGGCTATCACAAATGATAGGAGCTCAACCGAGTAGCTGATATCATCATTACGTGGACGACGTTCATAGCAGCTGCCAAATACGCATCTTAATACAGACTCAGAGACCCGAAGATCCACAGAATCCCACAGAGATTCATAGAAACCTATACTCGTAAAGAACCACAAAGTACCACAGAGATTCATAGAAACCTATACTCGTAGAGAACCACAAAGTCCCACAGAGATTCATAGAAACCTATACTCGTAGAGACCCACAGAGATTCATAGAAACCTAAACTCGTAGAGACCCACAGAGTCCCACAGAGATTCATAGAAACCTGTACTCGTAGAGAATCACAGAGACCCACAGAGATTCATAGAAACCTAAACTCGTAGAGAACCACAGAGACCCACAGAGATTCATAGAAACCTATACTCGTAGAGAACCACAGAGACCAACAGAGATTCATAGAAACCTATACTCGTAGAGAACCACAGAGACCCACAGAGATTCATAGAAACCTATACTCGTAGAGACCCACAGAGTCCCACAGAGATTCATAGAAACCTATACTCGTAGAGAACCACAGAGACCCACAGAGATTCATAGAAACCTAAACACGTAGAGACCCACAGAGTCCCACAGAGATTCATAGAAACCTAAACACTTAGAGACCACAGAGACCCACAGAGATTCATAGAAACCTATACTCGTAGAGAACCACAGAGACCCACAGAGATTCATAGAAACCTATACTCGTAGAGAACCACAGAGATTCATAGAAACCTATACTCGTAGAGAACCACAGAGACCCACAGAGATTCATAGAAACCTATACTCGTAGAGGACCACAGAGACCCACAGAGATTCATAGAAACCTTAACTCGTAGAGACCCACAGAGTCCCACAGAGATTCATAGAAACCTATACTCGTAGAGGACCACAGAGACCCACAGAGATTCATATAAAAACCTATACTCGTAGAGAACCACAGAGACCCACAGAGATTCATAGAAACCTATACTCGTAGAGAACCACAGATTCCCACAGAGATTCATAGAAACCTATACTCGTAGAGACCCACAGAGTCCCACAGAGATTCATAGAAACCTATACTCGTAGAGACCCACAGAGTCCCACAGAGATTCATAGAAACCTAAACACGTAGAGACCCACAGAGTCCCACAGAGATTCATAGAAACCTATACTCGTAGAGAACCACAGAGACCCACAGAGATTCATAGAAACCTATACTCGTAGAGACCCACAGAGTCCCACAGAGATTCATAGAAACCTATACTCGTAGAGAACCACAGATTCCCACAGAGATTCATAGAAACCTATACTCGTAGAGACCCACAGAGTCCCACAGAGATTCATAGAAACCTATACTCGTAGAGACCCACAGAGTCCCACAGAGATTCATAGAAACCTATACTCGTAGAGACCCACAGAGTCCCACAGAGATTCATAGAAACCTATACTCGTAGAGAACCACAGAGACCCACAGAGATTCATAGAAACCTATACTCGTAGAGACCCACAGAGTCCCACAGAGATTCATAGAAACCTATACTCGTAGAGAACCACAGAGACCCACAGAGATTCATAGAAACCTAAACTCGTAGAGAACCACAGAGACCCACAGAGATTCATAGAAACCTATACTCGTAGAGAACCACAGAGACCCACAGAGATTCATAGAAACCTATACTCGTAGAGAACCACAGAGACCCACAGAGATGCATAGAAACCTATACTCGTAGAGAACCACAGAGACCCACAGAGATTCATAGAAACCTTAACTCGTAGAGACCCACAGAGTCCCACAGAGATTCATAGAAACCTATACTCGTAGAGAACCACAGAGACCCACAGAGATTCATAGAAACCTATACTCGTAGAGAACCACAGAGACCCACAGAGACCTACAGAGAGACGCGTACTCATCGAGATCCAAACTAAACATTAAAAAAATATATTTTTACCAAGCAAGGCCCCACTGAGCTGCGTAGTTTTATAGCAGCAGCCAATTTATAGCAGCAGCCAACGACTCTAAATGCGTGAGATAGATTCGAAATGCGGAGGAGGGAAATAAACGGAAGGGCCGGGAGAAAAATCCAAGCAGTGACCATCACGGGCAAAGAGAGAGAGAGAGACTCAGACTCCAAATATACGGCAGCAGGCATCGTCAGGGTAGGGATCGAACGCCACGTCCTTCCTGCCGCCCTGTGTCTCCGTTCCCGTGTCTCCCCCCCCTCCGTGTCTCTGTCCCCGTGTCTCCCCCCCGTGTTTCCCCCCCGTGTCTCCCCCCCGTGTCACCGTGTCTCTGCTCCCTCCGTGTCTCTCCTCCGTACCGGTGTGAATCGCCCATTCCCTGAAGATGGAGGCGTCCGTGCTCTCGTTCCAACCACTCCGTGATGCGTGCCTCCAAGACACCATGAAGATTCCCTTCTCCTGAGAGACACCGGGGGGGGGGGGGGGGAGAGAGACGCGGTGAGACACAGGGGGGAGACACGGTGAGAGACGGTAAGGGGACGTCCATGAATGACGTCACGCACCTTAATAGGGGGTAAGACAATTGTGACGATGCGTGACGATTGGAGGAGGGGGGTGGTTGAGAAATGTGACGTCACATCAAAATGCGCAACTTTAAATAAGTACAGACAACACGTTTCTACTTCATTGAATAGACTTTTTTTTAAATAGATGTTTTCTCCTACGACATCAGAGTGCAGCGCCGCATTAAATACGCAACTGCAATGTGACGATGGTTTAAAGCGATTTGAAGCGTGTTTAATTTGTTGTGTGTGACGTCATATTTGAGGAGGAGGGGGGGGGTCTGACTTTTTGTGACGCCGTGTGACGAAGAGGGGGGAAAAAATGTCCAAAATCGCGTGACGTCATTTATGGACGGACCCTAAGGCACAGGGAGACGCGGTGAGACACGGGAAAGAGACACGGGCAGGGCGGGGGGAGGGCTCACTTTGTCCACCCACGAGAGGCAGGGATCGGATCCCGAGTTGAGTTTCAGCTCCAACCAGGGCCTCATCCTCATCCTGTCAACGGGCATCCCTCCTGCAGCAGCAGCGGCGGCGGCATCATCATCAACATCATCATCAGAACCACTACCACCATCAACGCATTAATCAGCACCATCATCGTCAGCACCATCAACACCACTGGCATCCCCATCATCACAATGACCCACCCACTCACCCTCCCACTCACTCACCCACTCACTCACCCACGCAGCCACCAACTCACTCACCCACTCACCCACCCACCCACTCACCCTCCCACTCACCCACTCACTCACTCACGCACCCACTCACTCACCCACTCACTCACTCACCCACGCACCCACTCATGCACCCACTCACACACCCACCCACTCACGCACCCACTCACTCACTCACGCACCCACTCACCCACTCACTCACACACCCACCCACTCAGTCACTCACCCACTCACTCAGTCACTCACTCACACACCTACCCACTCACTCACCCACCCACTCACGCGCCCACTCACTCACGCACCCACCCACTCAGTCACTCACTCACACACCTACCCACTCACTCACCCACTCACTCACGCACCCACTCACTCACTCACCCACCCACTCAGTCACTCACCCACTCACTCAGTCACTCCCTCACACACCTACCCACTCACTCACCCACTCACTCACCCACCCACTCACTCACCCACCCACCCACTCAGTCACTCACTCACTCACCCACCCACTCACTCACCCACTCACTCACTCACCCACTCAGTCACTCACTCAGTCACTCCCTCACACACCTACCCACTCACTCACCCACTCACTCACCCACTCACTCACTCACCTACCCACTCACTCACCTGGTCTTGCTACCTCACCCTCTGCAATATTCTGCACCCTATCGAGGTCGACTCAGTCTTAAATACTGCACGCTGCGCCCCGCCCAGTTCCTGCCCCGCCCCCTCCACCTCCTCCACGCCGGAGGAGAAATCCAAGAGACAAAGCTGTCCCGTTTATCACACGTGCTTCGCAAAGGGCAAGTGCTCTGAATGAGTCGGTGGGGGTGTGAGTGCGTGGGTGAGTGGGTGAGTAAGTGTTAGTGGATGAGTGGGTGGGTGAGTGAGTGTTAGTGGGTGGGTGAGTGGGTGAGTGAGTGTTAGTGGGTGAGTGAGTGTTAGTGGGTGGGTGAGTGGGCGGGTGAGTGGGTGGGTGAGTGAGTGTTAGTGGGTGGGTGAGTGGGTGAGTGAGTGTTAGTGGGTGAGTGAGTGTTAGTGGGTGGGTGAGTGGGCGGGTGAGTGGGTGGGTGAGTGAGTGTTAGTGGATGAGTGAGTGGGTGAGTGAGTGTTAGTGGGTGAGTGAGTGGGTTAGTGAGTGTTAGTGGGTGGGTGAGTGGGCGGGTGAGTGTTAGTGGGTGAGTGAGTGTTAGTGGGTGAGTGGGTGGGTGAGTGAGTGTTAGTGAGTGAGTGGGTGAGTGAGTGTTAGTGGGTGAGTGAGTGGGCGAGTGAGTGTTAGTGGGTGAGTGAGTGTTAGTGGGTGAGTGGACGGGTGAGTGTTAGTGGATGAGTGAGTGGGCGGGTGAGTGTTAGTGGGTGAGTGAGTGGGCGGGTGAGTGTTAGTGGGTGAGTGAGTGGGCGGGTGAGTGTTAGTGGGTGAGTGAGTGGGTGAGTGAGTGTTAGTGGGTGAGTGAGTGGGCGGACGAGTTTTAGTGGGTGAGTGAGTGAGTGAGTGGGCGGGTGAGTGTTAGTGGGTGGGTGAGTGGGCGGGTGAGTGTTAGTGGGTGAGTGAGTGAGTGGGTGAGTGTTAGTGGGTGAGTGAGTGGGCGGGTGCGTGTTAGTGGGTGAGTGAGTGGGCGGGTGAGTGTTAGTGGGTGAGTGAGTGGGCGGGTGAGTGTTAGTGGGTGAGTGAGTGGGTGGGTGAGTGTTAGTGGGTGAGTGAGTGGGTGAGTGAGTGTTAGTGGGTGAGTGAGTGGGTGAGTGAGTGTTAATGGGTGAGTGGGCGGGTGAGTGTTAGTGGGTGAGTGAGTGGGCGGGTGAGTGTTAGTGGGTGAGTGAGTTGGTGAGTGTTAGTGAGTGAGTGAGTGGGTGAGTGTTAGTGGGTGAGTATTCTGGGGAGCGTTGTCGCAGCGGTTAGCACAATGCTGTGCTGCGAACCCGGCGAACCGAGTTCGATTCCCGCTCACGGCCACTAGCACCAGTGACGATTATATTAACCGGTCCTGGGCCTCCCCTAGGTCGACTCAGACTCAAATGAGTACCTGGTGCGGTGTGTAGTGAACTTCGTCAGTCGGGGAGACAAAGGCGGCCGGGCGTGGTGCTGCCCAACCATCTCGTATGGCGTTCCGGCCTGAATAGGTGCTAATTGGCAACAGAACTTGCCCCAGTCTGTAAATACTACTCGGGGTATCTTTGTCCTTGAATGGGTAAGTGGGTGGGTGAGTTGGTGAGTCGGTGAGTCGGTAGGTGAGTGTGTGAGTGAGAGATTGAGTGGGTGAGTGGGTGATTGAGTGGATGAGTGGGTGATTGAGTAAGTGAGAGATTAAGTGGGTGAGTGGGTTGGTGAGTGAGTGAGTGAGAGATTGAGTGGGTGAGTGAGTGGGTGAGTGAGAGAGAGATAATTAGTGGGTGAGTGGGTGATTGAGTGAGTAAGTGAGAGATTGAGTGGGTGAGTGGGTAGGTGAGTGAGAGATTGAGTGGGTGAGTGAGTGGGTGAGTGAGAGATTGAGTGGGTGAGTGGGTTGGTGAGTGAGTGAGAGATTGAGTGGGTGAGTGAGAGATTGAGTGGGTGAGTGGGTTGGTGAGTGAGTGAGTGAGAGATTGAGTGGGTGAACGTGTGGGTGAGTGAGAGATTGGGTGGGTGAGTGGGTTGGTGAGTGAGAGATTGAGTGGGTGAGTGAGTGGGTGAGTGAGTGGGTGAGTGAGTGGGTGAGTGAGAGATTGAGTGGGTGAGTGAGAGATTGAGTGGGTGAGTGAGAGATTGAGTGGGTGAGTGGGTTGGTGAGAGATTGAGTGGATGAGTGAGTGGGTGATTGAGAGATTGAGTGGGTGAGTGGGTGATTAAGTGAGTAAGTGAGATATTGAGTGGGTGAGTGGGTGGGTGAATGTGTGAGTCAGAGATTGAGTGTGTGAGTGAGTGGGTGAGTGAGTGATTGAGTGAGTGAGTGGGAGAGTGAGAGATTGAGTGGGTGAGTGGGTGATTGGTTCTAGATTGAACATTCAGTGCTGTTGGCCTTCCGCCGAAAGAAGTTCAACGCACACAGCACCGACTCGCACCCATAGACTCAACACTCGCCGGGGCCAAAGTGTTGTTAGTAGCGAATAGTAGCAGCGGTGCCTTTTTGAAGGACCGGACTGTGGCACTGCACAAGCGGGGTGGGGTGGCCGACACCCGCCCCCCATTGTCGCTGTGTGGGGGAAGCGATTCTCGGAAGCGATTCAGCCGCTTGCAGGAAAAATAGTTGCCGAATTCAGCCGACACTTGTTTTTCCTGTTCTGTCATCCACAACCCCATACCTTCAACCGCCTCCCTCCATCCCCTCCTTCCCTTATCCCACGGACTCAACACTGCCCATAGACCCAACACTGCCCATGGACTCAACACTGCCCATAGACCCAACACTGCCCATAGACTCAACACTGCCCATAGACCCAACACTACCCATAGACCCAACACGGCCCATAGACCCAACACTGCCCATAGACTCAACACTGCCGTAGACTCAACACTGCCCATAGACTCAACACTGCCCATAGACTCAACACTGCCGTAGACTCAACACTGCCCATAGACCCAACACTGCCCATAGGCTCAACACTGCCCATAGACCCAACACTGCCCATAGACTCAACACTGCCCATAGACCCAACACTGCCCATAGACTCAACACTGCCCATAGACCCAACACTGCCCATGGACTCAACACTACCCATAGACTCAACACTACCCATAGACTCAACACTGCCCATAGACCCAACACTGCCCATAGACCCAACACTGCCCATAGACCCAACACTGCCCATAGACTCAACACTGCCCATAGACCCAACACTGCCCATAGACCCAACACTGTCCATAGACCCAACACTGCCCATAGACCCAACACTGCCCATAGACTCAACACTGCCCATAGACCCAACACTGCCCATAGACCCAACACTGCCCATAGACTCAACACTGCCCATAGACCCAACACTGCCCATAGACTCAACACTGCCCATAGACCCAACACTGCCCATAGACCCAACACTGTCCATAGACCCAACACTGCCCATATACTCAACACTGCCCATAGACCCAACACTGCCCATAGACTCAACACTGCCCATAGACTCAACACTGTCCATAGACCCAACACTGCCCATAGACCCAACACTGCCCATAGACTCAACACTGCCCATAGACCCAACACTGCCCTATGATTCAACACTGCCCATAGACTCAACACTGCCCATAGACCCAACACTGCCCACAGACTCAACACTGCCCATAGACTCAACACTGCCCATAGGCCCAACACTGCCCATAGACTCAACACAGCCCATAGACCCAACACTGCCCATGGACTCAACACTACCCATAGACTCAACACTACCCATAGACTCAACACTGCCCATAGACCCAACACTGCCCATAGACCCAACACTGCCCATATACTCAACACTGCCCATAGACCCAACACTGCCCATAGACCCAACACTGCCCATAGACTCAACACTGCCCATAGACCCAACACTGCCCATAGACCCAACACTGTCCATAGACCCAACACTGCCCATAGACCCAACACTGCCCATAGACTCAACACTGCCCATAGACCCAACACTGCCCATAGACCCAACACTGCCCATAGACTCAACACTGCCCATAGACCCAACACTGCCCATAGACTCAACACTGCCCATAGACCCAACACTGCCCATAGACCCAACACTGTCCATAGACCCAACACTGCCCATATACTCAACACTGCCCATAGACCCAACACTGCCCATAGACTCAACACTGCCCATAGACTCAACACTGTCCATAGACCCAACACTGCCCATAGACCCAACACTGCCCATAGACTCAACACTGCCCATAGACCCAACACTGCCCTATGATTCAACACTGCCCATAGACTCAACACTGCCCATAGACCCAACACTGCCCACAGACTCAACACTGCCCATAGACTCAACACTGCCCATAGACCCAACACTGCCCATAGACTCAACACAGCCCATAGACCCAACACTGCCCATGGACTCAACACTACCCATAGACTCAACACTACCCATAGACTCAACACTGCCCATAGACCCAACACTGCCCATAGACCCAACACTGCCCATATACTCAACACTGCCCATAGACCCAACACTGCCCATAGACTCAACACTGCCCATAGACTCAACACTGTCCATAGACCCAAGACTGCCCATAGACCCAACACTGCCCATAGACTCAACACTGCCCATAGACCCAACACTGCCCATAGACCCAACACTGCCCATAGACCCAACACTGCCCATGGACCCAACACTGCCCATAGACTCAACACTACCCATAGACTCAACACTGCCCATAGACCCAACACTGCCCATAGACGCAACACTGCCCATAGACCCAACACTGCCCATAGACTCAACACTGCCCATAGACCCAACACTGCCCATAGACTCAACACTACCCATAGACTCAACACTACCCATAGACTCAACACTGCCCATAGACCCAACACTGCCCATAGACCCAACACTGCCCATAGACCCAACACTGCCCATGGACCCAACACTGCCCATAGACTCAACACTACCCATAGACTCAACACTGCCCATAGACTCAACACTGCCCATAGACTCAACACTACCCACGGACTCTACACTGCCCATAGACCCAACACTGCCCATA